TCACTTGTTGGTGACCTAACCAACTGGCCACCACCACCCTGCGGTGGGCTAAGCAGAACGTTCAAAACCAGGGGTGGTATTCGTATTTCGCCATTCCTGTTCCATTTCATTGTAGACGAAATACGGGAGAACGCACTTAGTGGTCTCCAAGATGTTGGTTTTGAACGGGCAGCTGGAGAAAAGCTGTGCGATTTATAGTACGTTGGTGATATTGTTTATCTTTTCGAATGTATGGAGGACGCGCGAAGCGCTCTTATTAGCCTTTCAGGTTCTGTGACTCCATTTGGTAGTCGCTTTGTACCTTCAAAGCACAAAGATGGTTTTTGTCTATAGTGGAGTGTTTCTCCAGTTAGGCAGCGGTGTGACAAATAACGGTAGCATAATCAAGGAAGTAACCGTCTGCATTTCCAAGGCACGGTCAGGGTTCACTGGACTAAAACACATGCGGTGCAGGCGCCATGTTTCGTTGAAGCTGACAAGTCTTGTGTACTGCTCTAGCGTGCGGTCAGTTTTACTTTATAGTTGCGAGACTCTGAATTTGCACGCGGAAGATATCTGTCGTTTTCGACTGCCGAGGTTTACGTAGTTCGACGCGGGTTAGAAGGAGTGAGCTTGTAAGCAGCTCTGAGACAAGTCGCTTATTTGGTAATGGTTCGATTGAGAATTCGTCCCAAATTGGTTGACTTCGCTGGTTAGGACACGTTTCGCGCATGACCAGCTGTCGTTCACCGCACCGCGCCCTATTCGCAATTGCGGTTCCAGGTTGGAAGGAACCACTTGGAGGTTAACAGACGACGTGTAAACTAGGCATGAGGAAATACGCAAAGCGATTAGATAAAATAGGTGTATTCGTCTTCCAGGTTGGGGTCCAAAAGACTCGGCAAATGGCTGGTTGGAGACACTGAACGATATGGCAACTAACTGGCAGCAGTGGCGTTCTTGTTGTCATTTCTTATCAGGTCAGAATGGCATGTAAGACATGTAAGAACATTTAAATTGTGTGCTCTATTTGTTGATCATAGAGGTTCATTTTCGTTTCCACTCTCCAGTTAGACCAAATCCCTCTTCTTGTACTTGATCACTTAATTTGTGTACATTGTGAGCTTGGCAGCCAGTAGTGAAGTTCGCTTCACTCCATTCCGCTATACAACGATGATGATGATGTGATGGGGAAAAACAGATCGTTCGAAACCAGCAGTGATGTCAAATATGTGTTCTGTTTTGCTATTCCCCTTCAATTTAAGTATGACCCATACGTTAGTCGTTACTGGTAGTCTCCGGAATGTTGAAGATATTACCTGGAGTACGCTTTGGAGCTCATCTCTGTTCGCAAAAATGAAGGAAGCGCTAATTACTATAGTCACAGAAGCAGACTCTGTTTCTCATTTTGATGCACTTTTGCACATTGAAAGTGCAAAATGATGCCACAGGACTTAGTGTCGTCCAAACCTGTTTTGAATTTCGGTGTTTTGGAATGGACTGCGGTTCGTTTTTCCTACCGTGACAGTTGTATAACGAATCAATATAATCAGAGTTGGTTACAGGCATGTTCAAGACGTGTCTAGTCGAAAATAAGCTACAATATCTTATGCATCAATGTGACATTTCGTTGAACTAGAATGATAACTGTACTGTGCCCTAGCGTAATCACTTCGAGTTTCCGGTTGTCGCACCTTAAGTTTACGTGTAAAAAGTTGATGAATTGATAGTTTTCTGTATTTCAACGTTGTTTTGGTGTAAAGTTTGCTGTGGTAACACTCAGTTTCAAATTTGACAGCTATTAAACACGCTTTCGTGCGCTGGTTTTTGTCGCTGTCTTTTGGCCGCCCATTTAGATAAAAGATTGGAATGTTGAGAGCAAATTCAAGGGAAAGATAGGGAGTTGTACGCATATTGAGTAGTTGGACAAGCGCTATAGCACTCAGTGTCTCTAACTACTGGCTACCATAATCTCGGATCACCATCTAGGGAGGGTAACGGTAGCTATTTGACCCAGTGTCCTGGTTAGGGCTTCGATGCCCTCATGGTTTTAGTTTGACCGCCCTTGACCTTTTTCCACCTACCCCGGCAAACCACGCGCAACGTGACACGCACTACACGGTTGTGTGACGGACGGGCCGAGACCATCCGAGCGAATTTTGACTGTCGGCATCAAGCTACTGACCCGTCCGGTTCCTTCAGCAAGCGTCCATCAGAATATGTACGCGAATCCCCGTGGAAAGCTCTGACGGACTACATCCTTGTGTGGCCAGCACAAAATTCAAACAGCAGGAAGGATTAACATCACATGATTGCAACGGATGTAACATCAGATTTTGGAAGGGATTTGGTTCCTCCCGTATAGACTGGGGAATGATAATAAAGGCGGAGATAGTGCATCATCCAATCCTCAATGTGTACGAACAGTCGTGGATAAATGTTCTCATTCTCACGAGGGGGGGCGAACGAAATCATTCAGCCGTCAAAACCGAACAAGGTTGTGTACGTGGGTATTACCGTCGTGTATCGGTTTGTGGTTTACCGCCACGAACGGAGAAATCCTCAGCGATCACCAAACTCGCGGATGTCTTAGCACTACGTGAAGTACTGTTGGTAAAACTGTATACTGAGTGTTTATTTAATCGTCACCCGTGCGTACGCACTACCGCTCGTTTCCGTACATGGAAACCAAGTGCATTTGAGTTATGACTCTGCAGATATTATTTTTCACAGTAAACGTGTCCGTCTTCCGACATACCATGTGCGTGTTGGGGAACAGTAACAGTACAGAGTTGTGAGACATTTATTGATTTTTTGATCCAAACTATGACCCGTTGTTGAACGTGATGAAGGACGGTTGATTCCGCGTGTTACAATATTTTTTTTTGTCTTCCCCTCGTGCAACGCTGGTGTTGGTGAAGTAAACTTATGCTCATATCGGCGTGTCGTTTGAACAAGCGTAGGGCTTTAAAGATTAGGTGCTTTCCCTTTTTCTTACTTCAAGTCACGGCCTTTATCGACCATGAGCTCATGACCCATTTGTTTACAGTGTCGTCAGAGTTGTAACTGCTAGATTTGGCTGCCACGAACCCTTGTCTAACGTTGGTCATTTTTATTTTCGTTGCGCATGTTTTTAGGTCTATTCTAGTATATATGATAAACTGATTTGTGTGAAATGCATTTGCCATTTAAGTCCATGCAATATTCGTTTTTTGTTTCAGTGAATCGATTTTGAACCTGCATATGATGATTCGCAGTTGAACAGTCGTTACAACAAAAGTGTATTGTTTTCAACATGGAAAGTGGTATTCGATTTCGTGAGGTAAGTAAAGTGAAAATTGTTCTTGTCTTTTTAAAGACATGAAGCAAAACATTTATGCACCTGCTCTATTGAGAATGCTTTTTCTACAGAACTCATTTCTCCATATGATTATTTTAATTCTATAAATGGTTTACTTTTTACTCTAGAATCAACAAGTTTTATGCGCAAAGATCGTTCAGTTTGTGAATTTGGTTTATGGTGGCTGCACCGAATAAGACAATAAAAGTACGTTTGGCCGTCCGATAAAGAATTTCTAGTCAGTGCAACATCTGAGCGCTTGTTCGCGTTGTTCGGGTTCTTTCAGACCTGGTACAGTTCAGTTCTTACAACCATTAACCATGCACTTTCGTACGCCGGTTTGGGTAGCTGGCTTTTGGTCGCCCATTCGGATAAAAAAGCAGAATGAAGATTATAATGTTGACAACAGATTAAAGCGGAAAATAGCGCTTTTAAATAGACTGAAATAACAAGAATAATGAGTAGATGCGTGAGCGCCACTGTTTGTGACACCCAGCCATATCTCTCAGTGTCTCTAACCATCGGTGACCATGGTCTCAGGGTGCCCATCCAGGAAGCCTAACGGGACCTATGTGACCCAGACTCCTGGTTAGGGTTTTCATACCCTCATGCCAGGTCTTAGCTTGACCACGCTGGGCTTTATTCCACCCACTACCTGCCTCAGCAAACATCGCTCCCTGTGGCAACCTATTTAGTGACATGCGTAACACGTGCCCCAATCACTTGCTCCAGTGGACGACGGCGATTACCTAAAACTAAGCCTAGTCTCAGCATTGCTCGTCCGGTTTCCGCACCAGACTCATGCAATGCTTCGTAGACAGCGATGTTCGAACACCAACAATCTATCTTTATCCTGCTTTTTTAATGGCCACGTTTACGAGCAGGACTGGTCGAACTGCTGCAGCATATACTCAACCCTTCACAGACAGCCGGATGTCGCGACGGCCCCACAGATGTTTCAAGTTGCCGAATGCCAACCGAGCTTCCGTATGCGCGCACACCTCATACGTGATGCGTCCACTGGGTGAGATGTAACTGCCCAGATAAAACTTTTCCACCTGCTCGATTACTTCCCCAGTTAGAGTGAGGCTGGGTGCTGGACCGAACCAGTCTTGTAGCCCACCCTTACGCTACCAGAAGTATGCGGGTGCATCCGCGACATTCTTTTGCGGAGTACCGACCATATAAGAACCTCGAGGTCATCTGAGTCGAAAACTGACTTCAGGTCAAGGAACACTGCGATTGTTTGCTGACGATAGGCGTGACGTTTTTCAAGGACTTGAAGCAAAGTGAAGATCTGGTCGACGAAAACGCGACCCGATCAGAATTATTATTACATTATAATGCACACTCGTCTGAGGTCAGACTGTGTGCCAAACACTCGTGATACAATGATCTTTATAAGAAGAAAGCGTTCCACGATTTGCATGTGGGCCGAATACTGTCAGGTTACCCAGGTCAAGGCATGTGAATTTTCTTGAGGAATCGACAACTAGAGGTGTGTGTAGTTCGTTCGCCTCCTCTTGGTTGGTTTGGAGTCAGGATTTTTGGCCAACTGCTCTAGGTGAACTGCCAGTGGTTCACCAACCCGGTTATATTACTGGATATTAGCTTTCTGTCCTTTCACTTTGGTGGGGAAACACCTTCAGAAGGTAGTGAAGGTAGTAGCTTCAGAAGAGGCTATTTGAGACGCTTGGTCGTATGGGAGCATTTCGCGAGGTGCGAAGGTAGGGTTGGGGCGCGCATTTACCACATCGTCTGCACAATTGTAGGCTATGAAGATGAGAAGATCATCTTGTTTATGTTCAGGGGAGGAAATCATGGGAACAAAATGGGGCGGAAAATCTCAGTGAAGTTAACTTTAGAAGATGATGAAGTTTAACCGTTGCATGAGGTAAATTTCTTCCTGAAAGAGAAGTATTGTAGAAGAACGTTTAACAAGTCGAACCCAAGCCCCAGTCAGCAAGACGTTAAATGAAATTGCAACGATCAAGCGAACCAAAGGCGTTAACATAATCAAGGAAAATATGGTGAACAGTTTCAGTAGTCCAAATCAAAACTAAGAGCACAAAATGAACAACATAACCGGCGGCGTTAACGGTCGAAAGTGAATGCTTATAAGCAAAATTACGAGTATCGAGAACAATAAAGAGGGTAGTTATCCGGTTCCAAAGCTTTCGATGGGGCTGAGGTACAAGCAGTCCGTCGATACCGTTCTTGGATAATCAGTCCTCCGTATAAATCTCGAACGTGCTATGGAAAATAATTTTTTTTTTTCGGTAGCAAGCTCCGCAATGGACTATTATTATTTATTTATTATTATTTACGTTTTTTAAGTACCGCATTCTAACCTCAGTTGAATTGGTAATTTTTCGCCATTGGTGACACAGGGTGGTGGTGGCGCAGTGGTTTAGTCGTTGTCACAAGCGTGCTTTGGACATAATGGCCCGAGGTTCGAGCCCCGCCACCGCCACCCAACTTTGGTGGTAGACAGCTGTGCTGTCGTCCGGTTCAATACCACACCTAACCTATCGGCGCCTTATGTGGTTCGCCGCTCCAAGTCCCTTGTCTTAGGTTACCGGTTTCCATCACTAAACAGCAGGTCCTTGTGATAATGGGGATTTACCCGTCAGCTGTTCATCACACGAAAGTGTGTAATAAAATAACCCAACCAAGTTGATACAGTCCTGCACCACTTCTTGATATTTCAGTCCGTGTTTACTTTGCTCACGAAAGTGCATAGTTGGTGGTTGTACAAACTAAATTGAACTGAACTCTGTTCTGTTCGCGATGAAATTAATTCTTTAATCCATTATTCACTATTCAGTTTAAGAGGAATCTCTGTGACGTACAGACCACACAGTCCAAACGAACATACTCTGTTGGGTAAAATAGAGCACGTTTTCCTAAGAGACCAGAACACACACTAGTCCATCTAACCGCCTTAACCTATGCTCAAAGTTGCCAAAAAGCAAAGATACTCAATTAGATTACTTAATTTTCGTGATTAGTACTCAGTAGATCCGTGAAGAATGAGTCTATAGCGAGAGATATTTCAGTGTTTGACGGGTATCTTCTACCCGCAGATTCAAGGTCTTACAACCGTACAGCAAAACTGATCGTACAGTAGCACAGTAAACGCGACTTTTCAACTTTAGTGAAACGTCACGTCGCTGCCACAGGTGTTTAAGTCCTGCGTACGCTGCTCGAGCCTTGGAAATGCGGGCGGTT